AGGAATGAAGGTTACGTCCCATATGTTTTCTAATGAAAGTTTTAACATTTCTCTTATTTTTGCAAATAAAAACAGAAAGAAAAAAAAAAGAAAGCAACTGATTCCTCAGAAGATTATGTTAAAACTAAATAAAAAGTGGAGATAGAGAAGATTTTAGTAAAAGCTTAAAAGCATAAGTCTTTCATTGTAAAGCAAGATAGTCACTCTTCAAAAGTCAGGAACAATTCAGGTCAAGACTATGGTAAGCAGATAGTTTCTAATATCTATCACGGCATGTGTAACCAAGGCAGTGACAAAATATTTTTTCATTTCCAAATGAGAAAGACTGGAATTTCAGTAACAACCAACACACAGGAATTACTGAAGAGGTAGGTCGTCCTTAGTTGCTTGTAGAAAAAGAGAGCAAAAATAAAAGATAACAGCGAGATGCAATGATTAATGATTTAATTTATTTTTAACTAAAAAACACCCTCTTTCAGCAGTCTTCACAGCAGCGCTGTTTCCTTTGCATTTGGTATTTCTGGCTCCAGCTGAAAGGAAGATGCTGAAATAGCATCTTCATTGCTGGCAAGCAGTTAAGCAAACACAAAAGCCACTGAGGGCCGGGGGATCACAGCATCCTGTCAATCTGCGTATTCACACATTGGCTGTTGTGACACAACTGCACACAATTATGAAAACCCTCGGGTTCTGACTGGAGAATGATCGCTGTCAGAGAACAGGGCAGAGTATTCACTGTGCCTAAAACCCACATAGAAAAATGCAGCTCCAGCCAAGGTGCTTTCAAGAAATTTAAAGAAATTACTTGCATCACGCAGTAGAGCAATTCTATTGCAAAAAAAAAAAAAAAAAATCAGATCAATTATTTTAATGTCATTTATAACTACCTCTATGTTCATCAATTAACTCATGTTGTAAAATACATATCTGCCAAACAGTAAGACTCAATACCACAATGTCACATTTTTGTTATCATAATGTTCATATAGATAATGTGCACACTATGGTTGCCATAGGAACTTCTCAATGCTTTTTTGAGTTCTCAGTTTATAATCTCAAAATAACATTGCACTAAATGTTAAGTATAAAGTACAATAAATGTCAGGAAATTAAAAAATTGGTACTGTTTCATTCAGTACCAATTACTGTCAATTCAGAACTGTTTGTTTAATCTTCATGGTCTCATGTCATTTAGAGCTTCTTTTTCCTTTGGGAGTTGTTCCATACCTTGACAAAATGGACAGGATTGAGACCCCAGGGCTTCTTATAGAGCAGACATGAATTAAAGGTTCACTTTCCATCTCCCAAAGCTCCTCAATACTTGCTTTGTAACATCCCTAAACCCTATCAACACTATTTTTGCTGTTAAATGCTTGACATTAAATATAATGTCCCAGATAGAGACATAGCAAAATCACACTGCGCTTTGGTTAATGCAGCACAAAATTTATTGCAACTGTTTCTAACGCGACATGATGCATTTTGTCGCATCCCAAGCTATATTTAATACTGCATTTCTATTTTTTTTGTTTAATAAATCTGCATTTTCCAGTCTAAATCTCAAGTTCTTTGTTTTCACTTGCCATGTTGTGCTTTTTCACCTGTTCATCTCTGTTTTATAATTTCATTTCATTCAGATCTTGTCAGTATACATCTTCAGATCCTATGAATACTTTGTGAATAAAAGCAAGAATGTTGCTATTTCCATCTCTGTTTTTCACAGCATGCAAGATAAAACTTTGACTTTCTATGTTGATTAGAAGTATAGATATTTAAATCCCACCTATACTATACTATACTATAAGACATGTCTTTTGAACTGGGTGAGCTACAGAATTATTACATCTCTTTCACATCTGAGATCAACACTTGAACATAGTTCAAGTTACAAGTGAAATGAGTTGGGTGGTCTCAGGAAAATTTACTACAAACAGCATCGCCCATCTGAAAATTGCACCAAACTGTGAACATCTGTTACTCTTCTAAAGAAACAGAATCTGGACTACATTAATACTGGGCTCACTGAAACAGATTCCCTGATTAGGGCAAAAAAGTAGCTCTAACATCACAGTTTAAATGCATAACTAAATTATGAAATATGGACACGACGTCAATATCACACATTTAGTTACTATAGTCTGCACAGTTCATATGGAAGTTCCTGGGGAAAAAATGATTACCTTTTTCTTCCAAAATGCATCAGGGAAACTCTTAACAAAGAAGAATGTGACCATTAGATCTGTTCTTCTTTGCTTTCTGCCACTTGACGATACACCAGATCAGCCAACCTGAGGATTCCGATGAGGACAGCTCTCTCACTTTGTACCATCATCCCATCTCCTACAACTGCTTTTTCCAGGAAGGTTTTGACCAAAAAGAAGTGATTGACAGACCATCAGTTTCAGTTGTCCCTTGGAACTTCAAGCCGTTGAATACAGAACATCTCTAAGGCTTCCCTTATCCTTCCCTAACGGCCAAGTGAAATCGTTAGGACAGAACTAGTGCCTGTGAGGTTTCTGACTTATACCCACCATTGGCAGAGATAGAAAAGCAAGAGTCAAGCATCACTTCACCAACAAGTTTGGTGCGACACGTCTACTAAAGCAGAGTAGAGTTCAGTCTCCACATTTACTTTGGCCTCACCTTTTTATTTTCCATTAAGACCATCAATAACTGCATGTGATCTATGCTGCTTCTGTTCTCATAAGGTGACCCATGACCTTGAAATGCCTTCATTAAAGATGTGATTACTCCGTTCCTAATTTAGGTATCTGAAAGTTAAAACTCCTAAACCTATGCATCCTGGGCTCCCTTCATAATCAATGGAGAAAACAAGACAGATCGCGTATATCATCTATTTCACCATACGGGAAATCTACAGCAAGTAACTTACACCTAGACATCTAACTGTGAGAAATCTGAAGTTAGGTGAGATGAATCTCAGCCTAGGAGATGAGATCAATATTTTCTTCCTAAAAAACTCACTAAGCACTCAGAAAGAAATTATTTTCAATTGCATTTACCACAGGCACATAAGAAGCAATAATCTGGACTATTTTCCATTAGTAACATCCTGAACTATCCACTTAGGCTCTGTCTCACACAAATGTTTAACACAATTCCCCTCGGTACCACTCCAGGATAATTTGCTTGCATGTTTACTCAAAGGTTTCATTTTAATCTACGTGAAATATATTTCAGAAGAGATTTCAAAAGACAGAATCAA